TGCACTGCTGCCGGCCCCAGGCACCCGCTCAGAGCTGCCAGAGCCTGTGACACCAGTAAGTGACAGACAGCAGCACCGCACCGGGAGGGACAGAGGAGTCTGGGTTCCCAAAAACCAACAGCCAAAACACCAGGTTTTTCCACAAACACTTTCAGAACTGGGACTACTAAATTTTGGCCACATTTGGATGTCAGGCCTTCAAAGGGCACACTTCAGCACATGGCTTTTCTTTCCATCTCAGTTCTCTAGTCCTAGTTATCAAGGGGGTGGCTCCCAAGGGCAACTTCACAAGAACTGACTGCCAAAGCAGCTATCAAAGTTTTCCAGAGGCTGCAAATCCAACAAACAGCACACCCACGTCTTCCCACTCCACCTTTCTGCCTGTCTTTTGCCACTGCTCAGCTTGCCCAGCACACAGATCTGACCACAAGATCACAGCTCTCCCTCAAATCATTAAATATTAGAAACAAAAGTTGGAAGGAGCATTTTTCAGTGCAGTTGCAGGTTTAAACCTCTCCACAAGTCCACACTCACTTGCAGCCTACAACTCCCAACTCATCTAGGCCCAGTGGTCTGCAGCACCTTACAGACCCCCTGTGACTGTGCCCCCACCCTGACATCCAGAGCTGGGCTCTCTGTGCTCAGCACATCCAGAATCAGGCAGGAATGTTTCCCACTGCCCTCCCATGCAGTTTATCTCTGACTGCAGCCCCCAGGCTGTGAGCCAAGAGCCAGCCAGCCAACTGTCTCCCTTGGCAGGGCCCTGAGAGCAAACAGCCCTCTCACCACTTGCTGCAAGAATGGTGTTCAGTCTCCCCTCAGTGCTAAAAGCTCTGCTTGGAAAATTGCTGAGCTACCAGAAACTGCCATGTCCGTTTTACCCATTTCCTGTTATTTGATAAAACAGTACCAGAGGGCTGAGCTCCTGCTTCCCTGGGCTTTTGCCACGTTCCTGTTAGGGCCACTGCCTTCAGCAGGTGAATACTGGCACATCTTGATTTCAACAGGAGCCAGAGCACAGCATGAATTATTTGTGGTAAGGCTGACCTATTTAACAGCAGAAAGACAGCATTCATTCAGGCCCAGATCCCCCAGAGGCTGCTGGTGTCACTTTACCCACAAGACAATACAACCCCATGGCTATCTCTGTCCATCTCACTGGGAGCAGGGGTAACTGCCCTAGGCTGATCCTGCCACCTCCCAGAGCTTCTCCTGGAGCACAGGAGACACATCCACATCCCCTTTCACAGCAAACCACTGGCTTCTGCTGACCAGCTTTGATCATTGTTCTGTGAGCACCGTAAACACATGTGAAAAGTGGAGCAAAGTGAACCCACAGAGCCTCGAGACAGGGAGCAGCCCCTGTGACAACTCTGCTTCACAAAGACCAGGGCCAGAGGATGCTAGCAGTGTTTACAGGGTGGCTGCCAAGTTCTGCTCAGGATCCTTGCCTGCACAGCCCCTCCTAAGCTCTTGTAGTCTCTAATCCTGGCTCCCATCCTCTGTGCACAGGCCAAGGCAGCCTGTGAGGGGTATTTCACATTGATGCTGAAGTCTTGGTGATACATTTCTGTAAATATTCTCTGAGCACAGATCTGCACCAGGCCTTTGTGGACAGTACCTTTGTCTGCCAGGGACAGCGTGCTGTTGAAGTACTGCTCCTCCACAGTCCATGCTGTGTCATTGATCTTGTTGGACACCCCACAGGATCCAATGCAGCTCACCTTGATGGCTGTGGAGAGACAGGACACATGTCAGCACAGGGAGAAAGCAAAACCTCAGGTTCAGACCTGCCCCAGGTACTGTGTGTGCAGGAGCACATACAGGAAAACACACACAGGGTGGGAAAATGGAGCAGAGGAATCAGGTCATGCTTTCATTCCAAAAGTACGTTTTCCAGCACTGCCAACACAATTGAGCACTCCCTGCTACCCCAGTGCTCTTCCAAGGTATTCCCACCTTTGAAACCCTCAGGCTGGTTTCCTTGCACTGTGGAAGCCCTTACCAGCAGTGATTGCAGCTCCCTGACAGGTAAACCTCTCTCCCAAATGAAGCAGTGTTCCCTCCCAAGTACGGACTGGGTCCCAAAACATGCACCAGCCTCATCACTCTGGCTGAGAGCAGAACCTTGGGTGTCACTGTCCAGACAGGGATGAGCAGCCAAGGACTCTGCTGCCTCCCACCCCACAAGGAGCCAGGCATCCCACCGAGTGTCTCACCATCCCTGGGAGGAGAGACACATTTGGCACAAGCCCACTAACCAGCTGAACAAGGGGTTCAAAGAGCCCTGTGTGAGGCATCAGCAGACAGCTGGACCCCCCAGTGCAGCCTGGACAAGCTCTCTGCTGCTTGAATTCACAGCCCTGTCACCCTCAGAGGACTTTCCCAGCCCCTGGGAGCCTGCTCCCAGCTCCTGGGCTCAGTCTCAGCTTCAATGGCTTGCAGCAAAATCATTTTGCTGTTAACACTTGTCCTGCATCAGGACCTCCAAAATGTCCATCCACAAATCACTTCCCAGCCAGACACCAGTTCTAAGGGAGTGGTTTCCTCCTCTGTTAGAGACACACCACTCAGCAAAGCCACACAGCAAGGTCTGGAAGCATCAGAGGTGCCATCTGACCCTCCCAAAAGCAAGGACAGTAATTTGAGCTATGTTTGTGCCTTGCCTGGAGAAAGTCACCCCAAGAAAGTCACTCAGCCTGCAGCGTGGCTCTCAGAGGAGCTCCCCACAGACATCTTCAGTTAGTCTTGGCCAGTACTCAGCAGGTTGAAATTAGATTCTGATGTCGACATTGGACCACAGAGACAGACAAACGTGACAGACTGGCCTTTCTGCACAGCAGGAGATGATCTGCACTGCTACCCTCACACAGGGAGGACACAGGCAGACCTATTGTGGCACAAACAGCTTCAGGGCTGTACCAGCCTGAACATCTCCCACCTGAATCCCATCAGGTTTTGCAAGAGCTGGAGCCCACAGAACTCCGTTACCCCATGTGCCAGGTGAAAGGTGCTGGCAGAAAGGTGACAGGATCCACCAGGCAGACACTTTGCCTGTTTGACCCATCTGTATTCCAGCTGCATCCACAGGAAGCATCTCCCTGGGAAGCAGGTGGCCAGTTTGCCTTGGCTTAGGAGCTCTCCCCTCCTCACCCCAAGTGTTCTCAGCCCTGTTGATATCAACACCTCCACCCACCTACCTAAACACCGAGGGTTGCATGTTATTGCTGCTTGCAGCCACCTCCAACAGCTCTCCAGAGCACCTGCCTGGCCAGTGTGACTGACTCCAGACAGGGTGGAAGGAACCGCAAATCCAGCCCTCTCTGCAGGGGCAACTCATAGCTCACACCCCAGTCACAGCAAGGGGGTCAGGAAGTCAGGTGGAATGAGCTCCCCAGGGCTTAAAAAGTCTGTAATCCTGTCACCCTGATTCTTAAGTTTTTCTAAAGCCTTCTGAGTTACACTCTGTTAGAAAACTTTCCCACACAATTTCTGTAAACAACATATTGTTTTACATTCCTTCATGGGGGTAGAGAAACTTGATGTACTAGTGGTTTGTCCAATGTCTTTGGAGAGGTGGCACATTCACCCTCCAATCCACTGTCACCTTTAGAAAAGTATAAAAGTTGGAGTCAGAAAATAAACTTTCTCTTTTACCTTACAAAATAGCAGGTGGCTCACGTTGTACATAATCCCACAAGGAAGACCAGCCTCCCCCATCAGATCTCCTGCCATACCCTCACAGCTGATCATGACCATGAGATGAAGAGCCCCTTGCAGTCCAATGTTGTTCTACACTCAAGGACAAAGGATAAGCAGCTCCAGATGCCAACTCTCATTATCCAAACATCAATATAGCAGCAAGGCTGACACATCACTGCCTTGTGTCTGTAATGTGCTTCAGCATTTCCAAGGCAGGGAAAGAGCAGGATAGCGTGGCCTGGGTTGGGAACTCCTCCACCTCAGCACAGAGGACACCTGAGCTGACACAGGTGGCCTCCTGAGGGGAACCATCACAATGATCCCTCCCATATCCCCAGGTGACATCCAATCCTCTCTTTTGCCAGATGGCAGAACCAAAGCCATGGAGAGCTCTCAGCATCAGGAGCAGGACAGGTTTTAGCAGGGCGGTGTCCTGTGTAGCTACACATCCGTGCCACACTCCCACCTCGGACATACTGCCACATCTCTGGGCTCACAACAAGCCTGTCCCACTCTGAATTAGCCCAGATAACACAGATGGATCCAGTCAAATCAAGCCCAGACTCACCCACTCCATTCCCTCATTTTCACACAGGAAATGCGAGCAGGAGAAGCCCAACCAAAAACTGGGGAATGTTTACATCCTTCAGAAGCAAGAGCCCCTGAGCTGGCTCCCCTGCACCACAGGAGTTTATAGATCAGCACCATCTGTTCAATGCCCAGATAAGGGGCCCACAAATTGTGATTGCAGCCCGATGCTGCACTGTGGTGAGGAGGCTCTCCTGTTCCAGGGAAGCAGGTGGGTGGGAATGCTCAGGAACACACGCTGTGGCACAGCTCCCTACCCACAGCAGACAGGCTCAGCAAGCAAAGGCCGTGGGTTTGCAGGCTGACACCCAGAGCCAGCCAGCAGTCAAGCACTAGGGCTAAAGTCAGACCATGTCCAAAAATCCCTCTATAGCTTGCTAAGGAGTTTTCCAGCAGAGGAGCTGTCAGCTCCAAGGCTTCCCAATTAACCACTGACATCCCAAAGTGGCACGGTCACAGCCAGCCTGTGCCTAGAGAGGAGGGACAGTCCCTGGAGGGATTGCTCTGGGGCTCCAAGGGGTTCCAGTCCTACAGCCCCACCAAGCCCTTTCCAGCCACATTCCCTGATCATCACACACCCTGGGGTTGCCATTCCAGCCCCAAACAACAGAAAGCAGCATTTCAGCTGAAAAGTTTGAAGGAATTTCATTCTCCCCTTCCCCCTATGCTTCCCAAAGTTCCCAGTGTCCCCTCACCAGGCACACCAAGTCACCACACTTAGGACAAGCCTTGGAGCAGTTCATGGGGCAGGGTTTTGTTACAGAGCATCTTCTCCAACCTGCTCCAGATACCTGAGCACCCCACACCTCATTGGGGAAAAATGGGGTGGACAATAGCTCAAAGCTATTGCCCCACAGCTGACGGTGTGGCTGCACACAGGGATTGCATAACCCACCTCATCCCCCAGGCTCCTGGAGGAGCCAGCAGATCCCCAGGCCCCTGCAGGGTGGGTGATGCTGGGGCAGCAGGTCCAGGACAGCCAGAGAGCCCTCCAGTTTCATGCCCAGAGCAGGAAAGACTGGCAGCTACAGGGCCAGGTTACCTGGGAGGTTCCAGAGGTGCCTGGTCCAACAGATCAAACCATTCATCTCACTCCTTACCAGGTTTTGGAATAGTGAACCATAAAATCAGCCTCTCCATGAGCATCCCATGTGCAGAGGGAGATACTGGGGACTCGCCTGGCTCTCTCTTGTACAGGTTCCTGCCCACAAACAGGAGGAGGGACAGGGATGTGTGACAAGCACAGCTCATGCACATGCTCTGGGGGCAGCTGGGACCTAAAAATGGCATTGTTCAGGATGGGCCTGGCAAAACCAGCACCATCACAGCTGCTGCAAAGGAGCACCTGAGCACAGAGCTTGTCAGCCTGCCTGTCAGGAAGCAAAATGCACAGTCTGAGCCTTTCCAAGGAAATCCTGGAACTGCCAAGCTGCAGACAGAGGAAATAAGAATAGTTTCTGCATCAGAATAGGCCAGTTCCGGTTATTAGAGACCCATTAAAAATGCCTCTGGAATCCAGTGCTACCAGTGGCCCCAGTCACCTCCCTCCTGCTCCCTGTTTACCCAGACTGATTTCAATAAATACAGGAAAGAAACAAAGTCCAAAAACTGTAGAGTGGAAGGGGGAAGCAAAGAAAAGAAATGAAAGATGAAGCCATGCAGAAGGCAAGAGCCCTTCACCCCCACAGTCCCTCAGGGACTCAGGGAAGCGGGCAGCTCCACATCCAGCCAGACACATCTTTAGCAACGCGCTGCAGCACGCGCCAAATGCTGGAAATAAAAGGAGACAGCTCAGCCATATCCATCTCTGCACAAAGTAAAAATAGAGATGCCAGGAGCTGGGCACGTCTGCCTTCTTCCAAGGTGATTTAAGGAGAGCAGCCGTAGATTTCAAACTGCTTTTCCTCCTGACCCAGTGCATTGCCTACACAGGGGAGCTGGCATGGCACGTCAGGCATGAGGAAAGCACAGCACACACATCCCCTCCTCTGCCAGGGGCAGGTTGTGGGTGCACATCCCTCCTTCCAAAATCCAGCCACATGCTGAGCAAGCAGAGGCTCACCCTGCACTCAGACCCAGTCCCACATGAACAGCTCTGACTTTCAAGTCCCACCTATGTCACACACCTGCTACAACAGGTATGGGCAGAGGGGGAGGGAAGAGGCTGCTGCCTCTTGGTCAGCTTGGATTTTCTAGGCTGGGCAGGGGAAGCAGTAAAACCGGTTCAGAGAATCATTGAATACCTTGAGCTGGAAGGGACCCACCAGGATCACCCAGGGCAGCTCCTGGCCGTGCCCAGACCCCCCAAAATCCCACCCTGGGCACCCCTGGCAGCGCTGGCCAAAGGCTCCTGGAGCTCTGGCAGCCTCGGGGCAGTGCCCATTCCCTGGGCAGCCTGGGCAGTGCCAGCACCTCTGGGGGAAGAACCTTTCCTGCTCTCCA